ATTAGGGTAGCAGAAGATTCATCTACCTCCTATTATCTATAGTATATGACCAGGTAAATAACTCAATCTCAGCTGTGTTGACTCTTGCCGGGAACTTGCAATGTGCCAGCATGCCTGCATGTTGCCTGAGGAGCACAGCTTGCTGTTTTCCTCCTTCGTGCTCACAGAGAAGGTCAATTAGGCTTCGATTCTCATTATCTGATCTCCTAAGCACAATGAATATAAACACTATGTATTGCAAATACACACTAATAATTTTTTTAATCAACCACTTAAAGTTTGTTTGGTGGAGCACATACATAATCCCAGCACTCTGGAAGACTGAGGCAGAAAGAACTCAAATTTGAGTCCCTTCTGGCCATATTAGTGAGAACATGTTTCCAAAAAACATGTTTTTTTAGGGGCTAGGAATATAGCTCAGTGGCATAAGCACATGCCTGGCAAGCAGAAGGTCATGAGTTTGATTCCCAGTACTAAAAAAAATTGTTTTTGTTGGTTTTTTGAGACAACGTCTTTCTATGTCATTCAGGCTGGCCTTGGACTCAGTATAAAACCCAGACTAGCCTCAAACTGACAGTGACCCTCCTGCCTCAGTCTTTGAGAACTGGGATGACAGGTGTGCAGCACCTTGCCCAGCTTTCAAAACTTTTTTTTTTTTTTTTTTTTTTTTGTCTTTTTCCTTTTTTATCGGTACCGGGGATCGAACTCACGACCGCCTGCTTGCAAGGCAGGTGCTTATGCCACTGAACTAAATCCCCAGCCCCAGCTTTCAAAACTTTTAAAAAAGTAAAATAAAAATGGCTGGAAATATAGCTCAGTGTGAAGCTCCTTCTTTCAATCTCCAGTTCCACAAGGGAAAAAACAAACGACACATGCACATGCACACAATCACCATGGATCTTCCTGTTTTCCAAATCCCAGAGCAGGGCAGGGCAGAGCAGGGCTTCCCTCTAGGCAGGGCACATGGGCAGCACCAGTTGTCACCTCCAGCTGAATGGCACAGGAGCTGCCTTCTAAGCCATTGCAGGGCAGCTGACTGCCTCTCCTTTCCTCTTCATCTCCACCTTAGGGCAAAAATTCTGTTTTGGAGACATGGTCTTGCTATGTATGTCAGGTGGGCCTTGAATTTATGATCCTCCTAGGACAGACATTTGCCTACAGGGATGGCAGACTTTAGCACTAGGCCCTGGCCACTTGTGCTCCAGCTTGTATATCAGGAGGAGCAAGACCAGGGTCCAAGATCCCCAACCAGTGTCCCCCTTGCAAAACAACTGTGTCTCAGCTGGGCATGGTGGTGTAGTCCATGATCCCAGCACTTCAGGCTGAGGCAGGAGGATCACTGTGTATTTGAGGCCAGCCTGGGCTACATAGTGAGTTCAAGTTCCGCCTGAATTGCACAGTGAGACCCTGACTCAAAAACAAACAAAATCCCCCCCAAAGTAACTGTGTTACTAGGGAGAAGCAGGCCACTAATTCTTGGCCCTCCACCTAGTTCAGATGCAGGGTTGGGGATATTGTGCTGGGTGGGAGAGGCAGGCAGAAGGAACAGAAAGGTCTACAGCTCTAAGAGGAGAAACTTAATTTGTAACAAGAGCTTGGGAAAGTTCGTGACTAAGAGCACATTTAAAAACTGGAAATCTTAAAAAAAAAAAACTGGAAATCTTGATGGTGAGTGATGAAAAGGAGGCCAGGAGCCTCGTGATACCTGCAGCACCAAGCACAGCAGGAGGCCAGCTGGGAGTTCCTGCCGCTGCAGATATCTGGGTGAGATTGGGAGGAAGGGCCCTCCCAGGGTTGTAGTAGGCTGGCAACACTCTGCTCCCATTCTAATGGAATCAGATTGTGAAGCAATGTACATCTTGTGGCAATGTTAAAAACAAAGAACCTTCAGTTAGAAAATAGTAGATGCCAACAGCTGGGTATGATACCCTGCCAAGCAGACCAAGCTCAAGCTTACCAGGAAAATAGGCAGAGAGAGCCCAGCCAGCGGCAGTCACCCTGGAGGTCACAGGAAGCGTGTGTTTTGTGTGTGTATGTCTGTGTATGTAGCTCCATGTTGTGTGGGAAGAGAGACTTAACTATTCCAGTCCAATCCTGAAACAAATACGCAAATGACAAATCCTGATGGCAGGAAAAGATCAGTTTCCAAATTTGCTTCAATATACTGCACTCTCTAAAATTATCTACTTTTCAGCATTTTAATAAATTTTATTTATTTATTTATTTTGCAGCACTGGGGATGGAAGCCAGGGCCATCACACTGGGCTACCTCCGCAATCCCTTTTAATTTATTTTGAGACAAATTCTCACTAAATTGCCCAGGGCTTGTAATCCTTCTGCCTCTGCCTGCCAGAGTGCTGAGATTGTAAGCACACACCACCACACTTGGACTAAAAATTACAAGACATGCAAGAAAATAGGAGAAGGTGACCTGGGCATAGAATGAAAAAGAAAGGAGTGGAAATTGCCTTGGAGGCCCTGTCTTCATCTATTGTCTGCTGCTATTATGAAATAACTTATAAAGAATAGAAGTTATTTGGTTCCCAGTTCTAGGAATAAAGTCCAAGACCATGAAGCCAACATTTGCTTGACATCTATGGAGGGATTTCTTGATGCATAGTAACATGTGTATCAGTTGACGAATCTTCCTGTATGTGGCCCAGGTTAATCTCATTCCTGGCAACCTTCCTGCCTCAACCTCCTGAGTGCTGGGATTATAGGCCTTCACCAGCATGCCTAGCTCCTTCCTCTTCTGATAGACTCCTGTCCCATCATGGAAGCCCCACTCTAATCCTGGTCACCTCCCAAAGCGCCACTTCAAAATACTATTAGCATATGAATTTGGGGTTAAATTTCCAACACCTACAGTTTAGGGGACATATGCAAACCAGAGCAGGGGCCAAGGAGTTGAACTTAGCAAAGATCTCAAAGTGCCTATTATAAGCATTATGTTCAAAGGCTGGATGTTGTGGTTGGTGCCTGTAATCCCAACTACTCAGGAGGCTGAGGCAGGAGAATCACAAATTTGAGGCCAAGCTGGACAACTTAGGGAAACTTCATTTTAAAATAAAATAATAATAATAATAATAAAGAGCTGGGGGTGTAACTCAGTGGCAGAGCGCCCTTGAGTTCAATCCCCAACACACATAAAACAAAAAGCCTTTTGGCTGGAACCACCATCTTTCAGTAATTTGCCAAAATGATGAACACAAAGGGATGGGGGGGGGGAAGCCGATGTCTGTTCTCTAAGCCTTTAAGAAAACGTGGCGTTATTCCTTTGGCCACATAAATGCGAATCTACAAAAAGGGTGATAATGTATGCATCAAGGGAATGTGTACTATGCAAAAAGGAATGCCACACAAAGTTTACCATGGCAAAACTAGAAGAGTCTCTAGTATTACCCAGCACACTGCTGGCATTGTTTATAAACAAGCAAGGTACGGGCAAGATACTTGCCAAGAGGATTAATGTGCGTATTGAGCATATTATACACTCAAAGGGTCATGACAGTTTCCTGAAATATGTCAAGGAAAGTGATCAGAAAAAGAAAGAAGCCAAAGAGAAATGTACCTGTGTCCCACTGAAGCGCTGGCCTGTCCCACCCAGAGAAGCACATACTTAGTGAGGACCAATGGGAAGGGGCCCGAGTTGCTGGAACCTGTACCTTATGAGTTCATGGCATAAACTAGGGATGGAGCTCTGTCATTCAGCACCTCATTAGCAGCTAACTGTTCTAGGCCCTACTTAAAAATAAAAAATCATCCTCTGTTTGTAAGGATGGTTTTTTTGTGTGTGTGTCTTTTTCATTTTTATCGGTACCGGGGATCGAACTCACGACCGCCTGCTTGCAAGGCAGGTGCTTATGCTGCTGAGCTAAACCCCTAGCCCAAGGATGGTTTTCTTAATTGAATGGGTGTGTGGTGCCTCTACCTCAGAACAAGTATTTGAAGCAGATTTTCATTCTACCTAGTTAACTGGGTCAGGTCTTTACTCTTTCTGATAGAGGAAGCTCCTTCCTCTTCTGATAGACTCCTGTCCCATCATGGAAGCCCCACTCTAATCCTGGTCATCTCCCAAAGCCCCACTTCAAAATACTAGATAGAGGAAGGTTTTCTTGCTGAAAGATATTGTGCTGAGGTTTGTGTAAATGCATACCCAAATGGCCAAATATTTAGGAAATATTTACATTGGCTTGAAGATCCTGTAAATCACCATGGGGAAAAGAAGTATCAAAATAAATACAAGTCACTACAGTTAAAAAAAATAAGCTGGGGCTGGGGATTTAGCTCAGTGGCATAAGCGCCTGCCTTGCAAGCAGGCAGTCGTGAGTTCGATCCTTGGTACCGATAAAAACGAAAACGGGGAAAAAAAAAAAAAAAAAGCCGGGTGTAGTGGCTCATGCCTGCAATCCCAGCACTCAGGAGGCTGAAGTGGGAGGATCATTGGGAGTTAGAGACCAGCCTGGGCTACAAAGTGAGCTCAAGGCCAGCCTGAACTGCATAGTGAGACCTCGTCTCAAAAAAAAAAAAAAAAAAAAAAAAAAGGTGAAAAAGTAAATGAAGAAAAAGTCATATAGTCCTGTGTGTGTGTGTGTGTTGGAAATACAGTTCCAGGAAGAGAGAATTAGAAGAAGGAGAAGAAAAAAATCTGAAGAAAGATTGAAAAAGAAAGGAGGCTGGGTGCGGTGGCACCTGCCTGTAATTCTAGCACTGAGGAGGCTGAGGCAGGAGGATTTGCTTCGAGTTTGAGCCCAACCTGGGCTACAAAGTGAGCTCAAGGCCAGCCTGAACTGCATAATGAAACTCTTTCTCAAAAATAAATAAATAAATAAATAAATAAAATAAAATAAAATAAAATAAAAAAGAAAGAGTAAGGTTGAATTTCCACAACACTGTTGAAAGAAATGAACTCATGATCTGGCACCAGGGCAGTGAAGAGCTCCGAGTCAGGAGATCAGACCACTGGGGCTCCATGCTGGCTCTTAAATAAATGATCTCACCTGCCTGGGCTTCAGTGTTCTCACCTCTAAAGTCGGGGTGACAGGAATTCTTGCCTTACGGGGCTGTTCATGAAGCAAGTAACTCAATACATGGACAGATCACTTAGAGCATGCCTGTCACACTGTGTGTGTCTAACACTTGCTGGCTATTGGAAAACTGTAAAAGAGAATTTGGCAGAGTGGAGGAATCTTCAGTTATATTTTCTCAACCAAGTCTACATGGAATATTCTTCTCTTCCTTGTTCCTCTTTTTTTTTTTGGTCTTTTTGAGACAGGGTCTCTCTGCAATTCAGGCTGGCCTTGAGCTCACTTTGTAGCCCAGGCTGGTCTTGAACTCACGAGGATTCTCCTGCCTCAGCCTCCCAAGCGCTGGGATTACAGGCGTGAGCCACCACACACGGCTCACTCCTTCCTCTTTCTTTCCTTACTTCCTTCCATTCCCTCCTTTTTCCTCCTCCTCCTCCCTTGTGAAAGCTAATATTGCAGAGAAGTCTGAAAGCAAACTGGCTGTCTTCCTTGTGGCAGAGCAGTTCAGGGATCCAGAGTCGGCCTGGCCTGTCTCTGTGTCCTGGCTCCCCCGTGGCACGAAATGTGTGACCCTGGGCCGCATCTACAGTTCCCAGATCTCTCCTCCTGTCTGTAACACGGTCCTTCCTCTCTGTCGTGGACGTTCTGCACTCTGCAACCGTTGGCCGAACCATCCTTCCTCCACTTGGTTTTTGTTTCTCACATCAACCTCTTGATTCTGCAGAGGTTTCCAACCCCGGTAGCCTCAGCCCGGCCAGCCGTCTTGCTCCACTGTCCCGCCCATCGTGCTGGACCTGGGTGGCGAGCGCACAGCCGAGTCCTCCAAGTGACCACCAGGAAGTGGGGGCTCCACAGCGGGCACCCAGGAGTCCGCTAGGGCAGCTAGGCCTTCACTGTCACCGAGACTCTCCTGGGTCTCTCGAGCTGCATCCTTGGCCTGCTGACCTGCAAGACAATTCCAAAGCTTGCCCATAGCTATGCCAGCAGCTTCTGTTTTATTGCCAAGACAAAACCAGGGGGGAACCGGGAGGGGGACGCTTTCTGTCCATCTCTGGCTCCCGGGCTAGGACAGCCGAGCGCCCGGCGGCTCTAGGGGGAGCCCTGGGCCGCAGGGGACGAAAAAAAAAAGAAAAGGCCGAGCCGCTGGACGGCGAGGCTTCCCGCAACTCCGGCGAAGGGGGCGCAGCTCAGGGACCCCGTCCTCTGCAGGGCCAGCGCCGCAGCTTTCAGCTTTCTGGGCGCCATGAGGTCTGAATGAGCGGGCTCTCCAGAAGCCGGGAGCGCCGGGCGGTGGACGGTTCCCGTCCGAGGGCTGCAGGAGCCGACCCGAGCAGAGCAGGACCGCCGCCCGGGGGCGTGTGCGTGGCGGCGCCGCAGCCCCGACACTGCGCTGGGCGGCGGGCGGCAGGCGGGGCTCCGGCTGGGGGGGGCTCGCGCCGCCCGCCGGCTGGAAGCGCAGGCGCCGTCTGCTCCCCTCGCTCTCGTCGGGGCGCCGTCCGCGCCGCGCAGGCCTGCTGGCCCCGGGAAGGGTTCGCCCGCCTGAGGGTGTCGCCTCGCTCGCCGCCGCCTCCGCCGGCTTCCGGCAGGCCCGGCCCGCACCGCCGCGCGCACGCACGGGGAGGAGGCCGAGGCCCGGCCGTCCGAGTCACTGCTCTGCGGGCAGAGCTCCGCCGCTCTGCGGCCTCGGCCTCGGCCTGGCCGAAGGCCCCGAACCCCTCTCTGGCGCCGGGCGCGGGGCGCTGGCTCTCGGCTCCGTTGCGTGCGGGTTTCCCGCTGTGCTTAGCAGCGGCCCCTCGAGTGGGTGCCCCGCCGCCCGCCAGGCACCCGGGAGCCTCGCGTGCACAACTGAGGCCTCAGAGGGTCTTTCCCTCCTCGCACTCCTGCTGTGGCCTTGGCCAGCCTCGCCTTTGTGAGGATTACAAAACTTGCCACAGCTCTGCCAGCTGCTGCTTCCTGTTTTGTTCTCAATTTAGGGTGTTTATTTCTTTTGCTTGATGTCTGTATGCTAAAAGAAATAAATAAGCAAAAAACATTTGCCGTTCACTCAAGCACAGGGCACAATCCAAACTTGTTCCATATGAGAATCACGGGTGAGGAATTCTTAGTTTGTATAATTGGTGACTATTTTCTCTTAAAGTGTAGTGTTGAATTACCATTTCTTTTAGCATATTTATTTAAATTTTTGGGAGAGGAAGTCAATATGTTAAAATAAAAAAATCTGTTCAAAAGTTGGTTATAATTTTCTTTTTCCGGTTTTTTTTTTTTTGTTTTGTTTTTTTTTGTTTTTTTTTTTTTTTTTTGAGACAAGCTCTGCCTGTAGTTCAGGCTGGCCTTGAACTCACTGTTAGCCCACAATGCTCTCAAATTTTTGGTAATCCTCCTGCCTCAACCTCCCCAGTGCTGGGATTAGAGGAATGTGCTACCATGACCAGCAAAAAAGGTAGTATAATTTTCAAGCACTGTTTTGGCATAAATTGCTAACTGAAAGGCTAAGCTATTAATATTATGTTTATTTTTTTAGTACCGGGGATCGATTGAACTCATGACCTCAAGCTTGCCAGGTAGGTGCTTCTGCCACTGAGCTAAACCCCCAGCCCTTTGGATAATCTGTTATGTTTTATATTATATATGTACCAGTGCTGTTCCAAATATGGTTTGTGATATTGTGCCAGTCAATGAATTCTAAAATATAGAAATTGAAAATATGTATTTGAAACTTTATATTTGACTGAGCAATGTTATGTCTGCTACCTCTAATTGTAAAAAAAAAGGCTTTATATTTTTATGTCATTTTAAAATTTCATTTTCCTCGTTATTTTTGTTATATTTTAAAGAAATATTAGGGTATGACAATTTGTATTTTTTTTTCTTTTTGAGACAAAGTCTTGCTCTGCAGCTCAGGCTGGTCTTGAGCTCACTTTGTAGCCCAGGGTGGTCTCCAACTTGCATTGATCCTTCTGCCTCAGCCTCCCAAATGCTGGGTTTACAGGCATGTGCCACCATGCCTGGCCAATTGGAAATATTTCTTAGAAGCTACTTTTTCACTGAAAATGGTTTGAGCAATACTGATATTAAGCGTGTTCTCACGTTTTACGAAATTGAATTTGAAAAAAAAATCAAATTTGATATAAATAACATGAAAACAAAACCTTCCCCTGCCTGGCTGGCTTGCTGTCTTTCTCTTTTCTTTTTTCTTTCTTTCCTTCTCCCCTTCCATTCTTCCTCTTTTTCCTCTTCCTCCTCCCCTTCTTTCTCTCTCTTCCTCCCACCTTCTTTCTGTCTTTTTTTGACACTGGTCTTGCTGTTTTGCCTCCTGTGCTCAAGGAATCTTCCTGTATCAGCCTCTGGATTAGTTGGCATTACAGACTCACACCAGCCTGTCTGACTTTGGGAAGGACATTTTAAAACATTTTTAGTCTGCCCTTGGTGGTGTGCTCCTAGTCCCAGCTACTTGGGAGGATTGTTTAGCCAGGGAGCTCCAGACCAGCCTGGGCAATGTAGGAAGACCTGGTTTCAAAAACAAAACAAAAACTAGGTGTGGTAGTGTTACAGGGTACCCGTATACACTGAGTTTGTGTCTCCAATGGCGAAGAATGGACTTGAGGACACGGGAGATAAGTAGGAAGAAAGTTTATTAGAGGAAAGCTTCTGAAAGCAGAAGGGGACCTGAAAGTGGGTTGCCATGGGGGCTTTTTGTCTAGAGGTTTTTATTCATGAAATGTCCAGGTCTCGGACCACTCTGGGCCAAGCTGATATCAACCCGAGGGTTACAAGCAGGAAAGATTGACTAGAGGTGGGCCTGTAAGGACTCAGGGCATGTAGCAAGCAGACTTTTGCAAGGCCCTGGACTGTTGCTTTTCTAAAGTTATCAGCACAAGCAGAACAAAGGCATTCTTCAGGGAGGTATGGATAGAGGCGTGGTGGTACTGGGCATCTGTCACCTTGTTTTTATTATGTTCCTGGGCAGGAGGATTCCACAATTTAATATGGGACGCTTGCTTATGTGACCACCAGAGCCTTGACCTTGGCTATGGTTTGTTTCCATACTAGGGCCTGTTTTTTTTTGTCAACCCTCTTAGAAGGCCTGGCTTTTCTGTAGCTGCCTGTTCTGCCTGTTGCTATAGTAGCACACATCTGTAATCTCAGTATTTAGCAGGCTGTGGCTGAAGAATCACCATGAGTTTGAGGCCAGGCTGGGGTACATAGTAAGTTGAAGGCCAGCCTGAACTGTATAGTGAGACTCTGTTTCAAAAACCAAAACAACACAAAACAAAGAATCTAAATAATGGCTGGGTTAAAAAAGAAACAAATGAAAATGTCAGGATTGAATGGCAACAAAATAGAATCTACCAAAGCTTGTATGATATAGCTAAGGTGTTTATTTCAATTTTTATTTTTATTAATACATATTTGAAGTTCATGATGATTACATTCATTGTGGGGAGCTAAAGTATTTAGAAAGAAATTAAAAATTTAAAGGCATATATTAGCTGTATGTGATGGTGCATATCTGTAATCCTAGCACTTGGGAGGCAGAGGTAGAAAGATCACTTTGAGTTCAAGGGCAGCCTGGATTCCATAATGAAGTTCAAGGCTAGCCTGCACTATACAGGGAGAGCCTATCTCAAAGTAAAAACAAAAACAGGTATACTTTAGAAAAACAAAATACAATTAATGATCTAATTTTTCAGTAAAAGAAGATAACAGGGTACAGGCTCAGTCCTTTTATCAATGAGACTCCCAAATATGGAAATTTAAGTAAGATATGATTGTGATTCCTTCCTATAAAATGATCCCTTGGCCCCTGGAAGGTCCAGGGTTGGCAGGCATTCACACCAAACATGAGCCTTTCGTTTGCATGTCGCAGGCAGCACTACCAGGCTGTCATCCCTTTGCAGCCATCTGACAATGGAAAAGGCCCAGAGAGAATGTGCACACAATTTTTGAAAATGCCAAACCCTGAAGAGACACACAAAACCTTGTCCCCTACTCTGTTTGTAAGAACTTGCTCATGTGGTGACAAGGGGGACTGGGACGTATGTTTAATTAAAATTCCATTATTAGGAAGGAAAGGGAGAAATGTAAAGGGGGCTAATTACCAGTGTTGGTGCTCATATCTAAATGTGGCCTCCCTAAGCCTAATGTGTTCATAGGCAAGGCCTTGAGGAGTGGCTGGATTATGAGGTGTGCTACTGGATTAAGGCTGTGGAACTGCAGTAGTCCACTAGCTGGTTTAGCACAGTTCTGGGTGTGGCTGGGCGGGGGAATCTACTGAAGAGAGAAGCCCCGCCCTGGGTGTGGGTGGCACCAGTCAGTAGGCTGTGTCCTGGATGGAATATTAAGGGACTGGAGAGGTGCAGGCTGCCCATTCTGCTGCTTGCTTCCTGCCTACCCTGCCACGAGCTGTTGCTCCTCTGCTGTGCAGCCTGCTCCGAAATAGCTCCTCTGCTGTGCAGCCTGCTCCGAACCAGCGGACCGAGGACTGCAACCTCTACAAAACTGTGAGCTAAAATGAACTTTTTGTCCTTTAATTTGTGGGTGTCGGGTATTTTGTCCCAGCAACGAGGAAGCAACTAAGGTGGCCAGCGTCGTGTAAGTAACATATTAATAAACTCAGAAAAAGAAATTTAAAGGCTAATGAAATTAAAAGAAAAAGAAATGCAAGGAAAAAAGAGGTCAGGTAATATAGCTCAGTGGGACAGAACCTACCTGGCAAGCCGGAGGTCCTGAATTTGATTCCTGATACAAAAAATAAAAACAAGGGCTGAGGATTTGCTCAGCCGCATAAGCGCTTGCCTGGCAAGCGCAAGGTCATGCGTTCGATCCCTATCCCCCCCCCCCCCCCCGCAAAAGTAAAAAACTCAGTAAGTATAAAAGCAAAATGTTAGTCGAGTATATGGTGCACACTTGTAATCCCTGCATTTGGGAGGCTGAGGCAAGAGGATTGTTGCAACCAGCCTGGGCTACACAGTGAGCTCAAGGCCAGCCTGAACTGCATAGCGAGACCCTGTCTTCAAAAGCTACCCCCCCAAAGCAAAATGTTATAAAGAAAGCAAAGAAAAATTATAAACAAAGTAAAAATTAATTTAAAAGAATAAAAATGAGGTAATCATTTGAAAGACAAATTGATTTTTTTTTTTGGTACCTGAGATCAAACTTATCACCTTGTGCTTTGCCAGGCAGGTGCTTAAGCCACTGAATTAAATCCCCAGCCCCTTGAAAGACGGATTGAGAAAAATAGGAGGTGTGATAGATAATGATAGGAATGAAAATGGGGACACTGAGTTGGGCATGGTGGTACACACTTGTAATTCCAGCTTCAGAAAGCTGAGGTAGGAGGATTAACGAAAGTTTGAGGCCAGCCTGAGCTACATGGTGAGACCCTGTCTCAAATAAAATAAAACAAAACAAACCTCAGAAAATGGGAATGCTTCAACAGAAACAGAAACGGTTCTAAAACTCGGAAGAGAATATCATGAACCACTTTATAAAAACACATTAGAAAACTCAGTGAAATGGACAATTTTTCTGTAAAATATAAATTTGCTAAACGAATTCAAGAGAAAATAAAAACCAAACACAGATCATTAATGAATTAATACAATAGTAAAAAAACTTTATCACCTGAACACACACAAAATTCAACCAGGCCCAGGGAGTTATAGCAGTTCTACTCAATTACCAAGTAAACAGAAAATCCTTATCTTAACTGTTGAAATAATAGTAACAATAATAAGAAAGAATGCTACTTAACTTGTTTGAAGCTATTTTAACCATA